ATATATATATATATATTTATATAGTTATTCACAGTTACAGTATTTACATATTCTAGGATTACAAAGCAAATGGGCAGAAAATGAAGACGTTTCTACAAGAAACAATCTTTCAAAAAGGGAGGCGGAGACTTTTCCTGTACACAGTGGACCTTTTTTGTTTGTTTTTTTAAATAAACAACCTTTTAAACCATCAGATTCCTTTTACAGATCCCTGAAAATATTTTTAAATACTCAGTCTTTTGTTAAAAAAAAGAGAGAGAGAGAGAGACAGAGATGCATCTTAAAAGTGTTACCCCTGTGAAGATAAAAAAAGCTTTAGATCTTCTGTACAAGTAATCATATACAATATAAACATCACTGGTGGAAAAAAAAGAAAAGTAAATCTTAATCCAAATGAATGAAACGCAATGACTGACTTGGTCTTGAAGGGGCAACTGATTGGCTAAGAGAGAGCGTAAAGCAGAAGTGCAAGCCTTGAGTGCATTCATTTTTTTTTTTATATCATAATGACTTTATAAAGAAACAACGGCCGTCGCAGACTACGGCGAGGTCGCCTGCTGGGTCGTAGAAACACTTCTGTCTCGCACGAAACGTGGAACACTGGTAGAGTAATAACTGCTGCAGTTGAAGAGGAATCTGTGAGCACACACACACACACACACACACACACACGCCTATTTAGGGATGTGTGATTAGTCAACAAGGGATGTGAAAGCAGCGACACCAGAGGCCAATCAATGGGCCCGTTTTGAGTTAATTTAACAAGAAACTCTGCTTGTAGTTTCTGGAATTAGTTTCTTTTCATCTGACCTGAAGAACTTTTGGACTCTTGGTCGGATGAAACGAGACCTTTTTGAAAACTGAGACTGTGGGAAGCTGTCACTGGTTTGTGGGTGTGCCAGGTCCCTTCAGTCAAAGTCAAACTGTCTTAAGTTCTGGGAACACAGAGAATTATGGGATACTTGTATAGAAACAAGGGCTGAAATCTGCACTCAGTGGAGCCGACGCTGTTTTGATGTAGTTGCTGTTGTTCTCCAGCAGAGGTCGATGTAGATAGTTTGAGCTGTTACTCAGGCTGTGGCCCAGTTCGTGTAGTCAGTCTGCCTGAAACCCTGAAAGGATTTGTTAGAAAGAGCGGGAACTGTGTCAGTCGGGCTGTCGCTGTTGATGAACACAAACTGTAGGGGGCGTTTATGTGGTTACTCTGGTGTTCCTCTTTTATGCCCACACTGAACACCTGATGCCTGTTTATTTCTCTTGCAAACATCAGCGCAACATAAAAGTAAGGAAAAACACAATGAAGGACTTTCCCCTCCCGGTCCCCAAACACAAACACAAAAACAGGTTTAACAAACAAGTGAAGTGATTTATTTACAATCGTGAACCAAAAAGTGCAAGAAAAACCAGAAACAGACTTCAGCGTGAACCAAAGGCCAAAACAACAAACCAACACATCTACCTCCTTCAAACTCAATGCTGACTAATTCCTAGTTGACCGTAAGAGTAAAACAAAAGACATTTACTAACCTAATGGAAAAACAGGAGAAAACAGCACTAAAGAAAACGGCAGTTCACCCCGATAACACCCACTATATACAACCATGAGAAAAATATGATAATAATATTTACAAAGCTCGTTCCTACAATGAAATCACACCTTTAACGGACCGAGCAGAACGAGGCTGCTGTCAGGTTTACTGGCTGACTGTTTGTACCAGTCTGTAAACATGTTTATTTCTGCTGTAATGTTAATATGGGGCTTTATGGAGACGACTCACTGCTTGGTAGAAACAGAGTTATCAGGATACAGAAGAAACTGAACTGTAATCCAAAAGAAGAATTAGATCGGAGTTGCGTTTAGTAAAGATGTGGATTATTAGCAGGATTAAAGTTTTAGAATAAAGTTCTTTCTGTTGCTAAATGTTTCCTGGAGATTCCCACCACTAACTCTGTTTCTCTTTGTTCTTCATGTGTCTTTAAATGTTTCCTCACAGCTCATCACATGAAGATCTGAAGAAGAATGAAGTCTCTGCTGGAGGAAAATCTCTGTTTTCATTAGTTTCATATCCGTTTGTTTTCATACAAAACAGTTTTATACATGATTATGTTTTTTATTAATGTGTGTATAGATTTTCATATTAACTCAACAGTGTTCATCGTCAGCCTTTCTACGTTCTCTGGCAACGTTAACATTCAGAAAGTGAACAGCAAAATAAAACCGTCAGGGAATTCATGAACGCCAAATCTGACCGTTGCTTTTGACTCGCAGGACTTCACGTTTTTATTTCTGGCTTAAGGTTTGTACATATGTTTCTAATCAGGTCGAAGTATTTTTGATTAACACACTTTTATTTTTCTGGAGTTTTGCTTGCTTTGTTTGTTTTTTGTTCATTTACAATTTAACTGTGCTGAGTAATTAACTTGATTAAAATTGTACCTCTTTTGAACAAAACTGTCTCCTGTGCTTTGAGAACATCCACAGTTCAAAGGTTGCCACATTTCAACACGTAAGCCGCCGTTTGCAACACAAGATCAATTATCTTCTTTCACCTGCAGCCCCCTGTGAACAGACGCAGGGTTGCTACAGGTCTGGAAACTACTTGAAAGATAGTGGCCTGACCATGAAGAGCTTTATAGGTGAGGAGGAGAATTTTAAATTCTATTCTAAATTTAACAGGGAGCCAATGCAGAGAAGCTAGTACAGGAGAGATGTGATCTCTTTTCCTAGTTCCTGTCAG